GAATGTGTTTTATTTCCTGTTCTTCCAGATGGAAACCCTCAAACAACATAACAAATTATGGTCCATAGAGGCCATGTTTCTCCACGATTACTTGGAAGTCCCTGTTAGTCGGAGTGTTTATGAGACGGTAACAGGGTCTTCGGCAGAGTCTCCCCAAACGCCATCTTCCAGCTCACAATTCAATGGCTCAGACAGGTATTGGACGTTTGTTTTTTTTATCTCTAGTGTTTGTGATTAAACACAGATACATTCACACACGTAAACATGATAATTTACACATATATATACACATATATATACAAATCTATCAATCTGTCTTTGTATTTATCTATCTTTGTATCTATCTCCATATCTGTCTATCTCCGTATCTGTCTATCTTCGTATCTATCTATATCTCTCTGATTCTCTCTCCCCTTCTCCTTCTCTCTCCCCTTCTCCCTCTCTCTCCCCTTCTCCCTCTCTCTCCCCTTCTCCCTCCCTCTCCCCTTTTCCCTCCCTCTCTCCTTCTCCCTCTCTCTCTCCTTCTCCCTCTCTCTCCCCTTCTCCCTCTCTCTCCCCTTCTCCCTCTCTCTCCCCTTCTCCCTCTCTCTCTCCTTCTCCCTCTCTCTCTCCTTCTCCCTCCCTCTCTCCTTCTCCCTCTCTCTCCCCTTCTCCCTCTCTCTCTCCTTCTCCCTCCCTCTCTCCTCCCTCTCTCTCCCCTTCTCCCTCTCTCTCCCCTTCTCCCTCCCTCTCTCCTTCTCCCTCTCTCTCTCCTTCTCCCTCCCTCTCTCCTTCTCCCTCTCTCTCCCCTTCTCCCTCTCTCTCTCCTTCTCCCTCCCTCTCTCCTTCTCCCTCTCTCTCCCCTTCTCCCTCTCTCTCCCCTTCTCCCTCCCTCTCTCCTTCTCCCTCTCTCTCCCCTTCTCCCTCTCTCTCCCCTTCTCCCTCTCTCTCCCCTTCTCCCTCCCTCTCTCCTTCTCCCTCCCTCTCTCCTTCTCCCTCTCTCTCCCCTTCTCCCTCCCTCTCTCCTTCTCCCTCTCTCTCCCCTTCTCCCTCTCTCTCCCCTTCTCCCTCTCTCTCCCCTTCTCCCTCTCTCTCCCCTTCTCCCTCTCTCTCCCCTTCTCCCTCTCTCTCCCCTTCTCCCTCTCTCTCCCCTTCTCCCTCTCTCTCTCCTTCTCCCTCCCTCTCTCCTGCTCCCTCCCTCTCTCCTGCTCCCTCTCTCTCTCCTTCTCCCTCTCTCTCCCCTTTTCCCTCTCTCTCCCCTTCTCCCTCTCTCTCCCCTTCTCCCTCTCTCTCCCCTTCTCCCTCCCTCTCTCCTTCTCCCTCTCTCTCTCCTTCTCCCTCTCTCTCCCCTTCTCCCTCTCTCTCCCCTTCTCCCTCTCTCTGCCCTTCTCCCTCTCTCTGCCCTTCTCCCTCTCTCTGCCCTTCTCCCTCTCTCTGCCCTTCTCCCTCTCTCTGCCCTTCTCCCTCTCTCTGCCCTTCTCCCTCTCTCTGCCCTTCTCCCTCTCTCTGCCCTTCTCCCTCTCTCTGCCCTTCTCCCTCTCTCTGCCCTTCTCCCTCTCTCTGCCCTTCTCCCTCTCTCTGCCCTTCTCCCTCTCTCTCTCTCTCTCTCTCTCTCTCTCTCTCTCTCTCTCTCTCTCTCTCTCTCTCTCTCTCTCTCTCTCTCTCTCTCTCTCTCTCTCTCTCTCTCTCTCTCTTCTCTTCCCTTCTCTCTCTCTCTCACTTTCCCTTCTCTCTCTCTCTCTCTCTCTCTCTCTCTCTCTCTCTCTCTCTCTCTCTCTCTCTCTCTCTCTCTCTCTCTCTCTCTCTCTCTCTCTCTCTCTCTCTCTCTCTCTCTCTCTCTCTCTTCCCTTTCTCTCTCTCTCTCTTTCCCTTTCTCTCTCTCTCTCTTTCCCTTTCTCTCTCTCTCTCTCTTTCCCTTTCTCTCTCTCTCTCACTTTCCCTTTCTCTCTCTCTCTCACTTTCCCTTTCTCTCTCTCTCTCTCACTTTCCCTTTCTCTCTCTCTCTCACTTTCCCTTTCTCTCTCTCTCTCTCTCTCTCTCTCTCTCTCTCTCTCTCTCTCTCTCTCTCTCTCTCTCTCTCTCTCTCTCTCTCTCTCTTTCTCTCTCTCTCTCTTCTCTCTCTCTTTCTCTCTCTTTCTCTCTCTTTCTCTCTCTTTCTCTCTCTTTCTCTCTCTTCTCTCTCTCTCTCTCTCTCTCTCTCTCTCTCTCTCTCTCTCTCTCTCTCTCTCTCTCTCTCTCTCTCTCTCTCTCTCTCTCTCTCTCTCTCTTTCTCTCACATTCTCTTTCATTCTCTTTCTAGCAAACAGGAATGCAGAAATTTAACGGCATTTCTCTCTTGTTGCAGAAGTTCCGACACGAGCACCTCTTCCCCGAGCAGCACCCCGAAGGTTAGCCGTTCACCCTCCACCTCCAGTGGCCTCCATGACTGTTCTGAAACGAATCCTACAGACTTCCTTTCCAAGATCGACTCAAACATTGCACTCATGAAATCCAGTATTGAGAGAATGGAGACTCATGCATAGTAAGTTCGGAGAGTGTGCTATGGTGGCCTCCCCCCCCCTCTAGCCCCCTAAAGCAACAGCTAAGGAAGGCTTGAGCTACTGCTATTACTATGTAGAAACTTGTCCTTTGCACAAAGGGATATCAAATGGTTTAGCTTTTTTTTTTTTTTCTTTTTTTTTAGATTTGGTTTTTGTTTTGTTTTTGTATAGTGTGCTGTACTTATTATTTATGAGTATAGGGGACTGGAGTTTCTGTTTGGAGATTTAGACATTCCTATACTTTACTTTACATATATATCCATATATATGTGTGTATGTGTGCGTCTGTGAGGGTGCTGAATCATAACTGTTGTCACTATTTGTCATTAGGATTAGATGCTACATAGTTGATATGAGATTATACAGGCAGCCTTCTCAAAGAGGTTGAACGATTGCACATCATTGTATAATCCAAGGCGATCAGATGCTATTGCTCTGAGGGAAGTCTGTGTTGGATATGTTGAATATATTTTTTATTTATCTCTAGAGGTTTTAGGTGAAATAGAGGAAAATATTTTAGATATCTCGTATCGAAATAATGTGCCATAGTCATTAGGATCAAATTGTAATATATATAGTTCAATTTCAGTATTTTATATCTGATTGAGCTCAAGTTCATAGTGTGAAAGGGTTTGCCATATGAAACATTTTTAGATCAGCCAGTAAGCAGGCAAACTGTGCCTCACAGAAGTGACAAGGTGTATCAAGTGCGTTTACATCATCTGAACTTAAAGGATGCTCATAAATTTTCTGTCTCAAGTACTTTGTGTTTGTTCACTGAGTTGAATTAAAAGCCACTATCTAGTCACATCCAAGGAAAAGGACAAGAATAAACATTTTCACAAGGTAAGGTCTTTTAAATGCTTTCTTTTTGGATGTGTCACAAAGGTGTCCCTAATACAAAAGCCCCTGACATCATTGTAAAATACTCTTAATACTCTGAACTGGTTCTGTATTCTGCCTTGGGCCATCATCCCATAATTAATGATTGGTTTGGTCAGACAAGCTGTAGAATTTTAGATTTATTGTGAGCTGAGGGCCACAAATCAAAGTACAGGCTGATGAACAAATCAAGTTACTAATGTTTTTATTCTGAGAGAGAAATATCTTACTCATTGATAATGGTATGAAAGTCACTATACTGTACTGTTGGTATGTGATGATGAACTCCAAAGACATTGGTTAGATCTGCTCTCATTTATCCATTTCTTCTTTCCATTTTTCTGTTGCTCTTTTTCATTTCTGATGAGAAAGTGATTAGACATGAAATATAAGTAGATTTAATAGGCAAAGAGTGTCAGGTAGGACTTTAGGGAGCAAATGCCTGATACCGAATGTTTGCTTTTTAGGGGAAACTGGGAATTTTGCTTATTCCATCTTTATAATGTAGCTTTTCATTTGTAAATGACAAAAGAGGGTTTGGGGAATAGAGGAAAGTCTTGCTTTAGACAATAACCTCAAGGATTTTAGACGAGTTCAAATTATAATGCAAACTTTTAAACCAATTTGTATACAAAACACAACAGCTTTTGGGGACTCAATCACTGTAGAGAGAAAATGATAGTTTTGATATTAGAGTGAAATATAACTGTAGTTCATGTGATGTTAAGAGAAGAGCACATATAGAGTAGATTTTTCACACTTACATCTTTGAAGAAGCAAGATTAGTATTCTGAATAGCACAGTGATCATCAAACCTAGTTCACTTGTAGAAGTTTGTTATATGTGAAACAAGATGCAAAATAGTTTAAAAGTGTACTGGAAGGGCAGCTGATTTGACATTAGGGTCTTACTTTTGCAGCCAAACTCAACCAACAACTTTTGCTTTGAGTTGGCTGGAAGCATTTTTGAGAGTAAGATTGGTTACTCCAGGCTTTTTCTTGTTGATGAATATTCCAAGAATCGTGGTCCAGGAGGAAACGTAATCTGTTGTTACTCGTTGTTTGATAGGTTTTCTTCACCTCTTGACAAACCAAGCAAAGTTTCTCTTCTTATAAGTTTGTTTGTCCTTGATTTCCATTCCGCTAATCCGATCCCCATAATTGTGTGCTTTATTACTTGTAATGATGTGAGTAGAATTTCTTGCTGCACTAAGCTTTCAACTTCATTCTTTCACTATGGTTCTTTTAAAAGATGGGGGGGGGGGGTGCATAGTATGATTAGTGTAAGGTTTACAAAGATTACTCAATGAATAAAGGTGTTGTACCAATCAGGGAAATTCTAGAGACGTGGTTATTTTGTACTCCATATGAATAGAAGTAAGATAGGAAAGGGAGAAATCAGAGTAAAAAGGGAAGTTGTGACCAAGGGGTTTATTTGTCTCTTATCAGACCTTGTAATGTGCTGTTTTTGAATCCTGAAAATAAACCCTTAGGTTTTGAATTACCTCTTGGATTTGGAAGTCTGAATTTCTACGGGAAGGCTTTTGTTTAGGGTGGATTAATGCTAAAGAATTTGAAGGATTTGAAGATACAAGAAAATAAACTTATTCCCTCTCTTTGCTCTTAGTAAACTGCATTGTATCTCTGGGGTTTACAGACTAAATTCTATTCTAAATGCCTCTTATGAGATTTGATCTGAATGTTGTTCAACTATTAGCTATATTTTAATTACTTGTCACGTTAGACATATCGAATGTCAGCTCTTGACTTTACTCCCATCAATATTGTGATATTAAATTTCAATTTTTAATGCAACTGGTCATCCATCAGCAGATGGTTTATTCTTACAGTTCATTTGTTTGGACTACTCATCAAGCATTGCCCTTTCCTCTTTTAAAGACGGATTGAAGTTATTCTTCCTTAGAGGCATAGCATAAATATATCAGAATAAACCTAGAAATAGCAGATATTTGAAAATTGATGGATATTTTCATAGAAATAGATTGTTCATCAAAATATGTGCAATTTAGCAAATAGTTGAGAGAATTTGTGTTACTAGCTGTTGCTTATGTGTAATACACAGCTGTAGTCATGTTAATGGCTGGTTATGGTGCTATCATTAACTTGGGAAGATGAAGTGGCTTTTATGTATTTATATGTATATATATGTTTATTTACATATATACACATATACATATATACATATACATACAAGATATATACCTGTTGGCTATACATACACCTATGCATATATATAAATAGACATCTACATATACATGTACATATGCACAAATGTATATACATACATACCAATGTATAAACATATCAATACACACACATATGTACAAACAAGTAAATACACAGAAAGTAATAAAGATGTTTAGTCATACATATAAAGGATGATACATGTATATATGCACATACACATATAAATATGCATGCAGATAATATTGTCCACATACATGTAGCTACATAAACTTACATATACATATTCATATACATATATATGGAAATATACAGTTACTAAAGTTACTTGTTTAAATATATTGTGTATAGTTGCATGTGTGATGGGTTGATGTGTAAGTGTAATTGTCTTTCTGTATAACTAATTGGTATGATAGTACATTGCATTCAATTTATATAATGACATGTGTTTGCATTTGTTTGATATTATAGACATCTGCCAGAAATGGTTTTGAGACTTTAGGTTTTTAATTACTCTCTTCCATCTTTGTCTTTTTTCCTTTTCTCTCTCTCTCTCTCTCTCTCTCTCTCTCTCTCTCTCTCTCTCTCTCTCTCTCTCTCTCTCTCTCTCTCTCTCTCTCTCTCTCTCTCTCTCTCTCTCTCTCTCTCTTTTCTCTCCTCAGTCTCTCATTGTATTCTCCTCTCACTGTCTGTCTCTTCTTCCTCTCAGTGTTTATTCTAAATTCCACATTCTTCAGTCTTTCCACTTTCAGCGCTCCCTCCATAATAAATAAGTTAAGATTAATTTCTAGCCTAGTTGGAGCATGTTCCGTCACTCACCTGTGCCTCTCCTGCACCTCTCAGTCCTCCTTATGGAAGCACAAATATGACGAATAGTCAAGTCTAGTGTAAGCTTTATTTGTTAACAGGCCAGTACTCGGGAAAAGAGGGGTTTAACATAGTGTACTGCCATAATTTTGAAGTCCTTAGCATTATAGTTTGAGGTGCTTAGCATGGCTTAGGTTATTTTTTTTCAACATAGATATGATAAGATAAAACAAGCATATTACTTTCATGAAACACAGTTTTGGCTTGCCTTATCAGAGTTATTTACTTATGTAATGGAATTTACATTGCATGTTTGCTAGTTTAGAATATTAACTTTAGATTTCTTTCAGTCTGGATATTATGAATACATGGTATACATTTATACACACGCATATAGTTCTTCTGTAGTTTTTTTTTATTTAGTTATTACATTCAGGCATCATTGACCCAAAGATATTAAAACCACAGAAAAAACTTGCCTAATACCTAACAGTCAAAATCTTTCCATGCCACATGACAGCAACTGTCATTCCTTTGGCGTCGCACATAGTATACTTCAGTTCTATATTAGGCATTGTTCATTGGGTTGAGATTTAGGGATTTACTATATTTTTTCTCTTTGTGGATCATGATGAAAAGCTTCTTCGGTAAGTTCTTCCTGAAGAGTCTCCTCACTATTAATATTTTTGGGCGTAACTGTGATAAACATTGGTGGTACGATGGGATAACTGAGTAATGTGATAGGAAGTCTTTGTGATGCAGTTCAATGACTTTGAAATTTAGCAATAGAAAATGATGCAGATGAATTGCAAAAAATGGGGGAAAGTAGTAATGTTGATATGATAGGATGAATTTGTGGAGTACAATTATTATTATTATTATTATTATTTATTTTTTATTTTTTATTTTTTTTATATATATATAAGATCTCTGCCCTTGTTTTCTTTACAGGTGGAAATGTTCACAGATAATGTACTGTGAAGCCTCAAATCAATAGTAGTTTTAGTTTGAGCTGAACAAATTACCTGGGGGGATACCCATGATATTATAAAGGTTCTGGTAATGAGGATTTAGCTATCTTGTTATTG